GGTAGGGGGGGAGGTGGGAGGGTATGTGGGTGCGGTAGGCACTTGGCACCTCGCCAGAGACGCAGTGCGACATTGTGTGAGGGATGGGTTACTGTGTGGTTGTGGGAGACAGAGGTGCGGAGCCGCGCGCAGAGTGCACCATCTGGACGGGGCTCAGACTCCTCTAGCGTGATGTTTGAGGAAGAGCCGACCCTTTCTTTCACTAACGATAACGCTCGGCTGAGCACTTCCAGTTTACCCCATCATTCCCCCCACCCCCTCTCTCTCCTTCCAGCGCTCTCCCTCTCGCTCATTCGCTCGTTCCACCCCTTTTCTGCGGAAAGAGTGAGACGGGCCGGGAGAGCGCGCGCACGCGACGAATGCGAAGGAAGGAGATCTAAATTATGCAAACTTCCCCCGGGGCTGCGCCTTAGCCAAGCTGAACTGGGTTACTGTGTTTTTCCCAGCAGCAGTGGGCGCGCGGCGCGGCGCTACGCCATTGCACGACAAATGCAGCCCCGTGATGCTGCGAGCGCCGCGCGCCCGACCTGAACACGCCGCCTGTTGAGTACGATGATGGATGCAGGGAGGCTTCGACGCCTCCGCCCCCGCCCGCCCCCACCTCCTCGCCCTCTACGCGTCTGGCGGCCCCACCGGGGGCCACAAAGTCGATTCATAAAGGATCCCTTTTAACAGGCGAGCCCCTGACTTAATTTTGCACGTGGACAGAGCGAGGCGCGGAGCACCAGGCCTTCGGGGACCAATTACTTAGACATGAATGGCCCTTTCAGCTCGCCGCTGGCCCGCCCTCCCTCATCCACATAATAACACTTTAAAAAGTAATAGTGCGCTTTTGAATAGCCACGTGTTCCTTGATGCGAAATTCGGCGATGGTCGCGGTATGCGGAACCGAAGGGTGACGAGGAAAACCAGGAAAATCAATCCTGGGGCTGCAGTGGCAGAGTGATGCTAGCTGAGATTGGGGAGGTGATGCCGCCAACTAGCACCCTCGACGTGAGCTCGTCCTCGTGCCAGAAGAGGCAGGGGAGGAGACTGTTGAGCCCCGGGGACTGCCAACACTTATCTCGAGTACCCAACATGAGCTGATGGCTTCGACGCCAAGCCGCTGGCCAGGCCCTGGGCCAAGTAAGCCCAGTCGTCGTAGGCTGGGCGGTAGGCCGGGGAGCCACCCTCCTTCGTTAGTGGTGGCTCCCTTGGCCGGTCGAGATTATTGGAAAGTGGAAAGTGGAAGGAAACTGAAATCTTTTACGAGGACAAGTCGTCTTCCCCGTACCAGCCGATTGAGGAGAGAAAAGTAATCAGGCTAGCCTGATCTCGGCGCTAATTTGAAAGTCAACTTGGGCGGAGGGTTCGGCAGTTAGGAGGCAAATTGGAGTGGGGCGCGTAACTTACATGTCCTCAAGAGTTTGGCAACCAAGTGAGCTCGCCGCACTGGTGACATCTCCACCAAAGGGAGCTGTTCGCATGACCCAATTCATAGTGAAACATTTTGCCCCGTACGATGGATTTTGCAGGCTCAGTGAGCAGTGGCGCAGGCTAGGCACTCGCTAGGCTACTGGACTACGGCATGCAGAAGCCATGCGGGAAGGGTGGTGGGGAGGACCAAGAGGGAGAGGGAGGGAGGGGGAGACACACAAGACCCGCAACGCGCAACACACACGTTAAGAGAGGAAGAGACAGAAAAAAGAGAATGTCATCATGAAGGTTTCGCCCATTCTGTCATTATGGGTAGGCGAATCCCTCGCGGACTGCGCCCTACCAAGCTCATCACCTAAGCTCCAGGAAAATGAAAAAGTGTGAAAAACTGGTGTCATCACGGTAGGTGCACTCTGTGTGTTGCTCACGCGACTTTTTCACGCTAAATAAAGCAAAAGTATCAATCGAAACGATAGCGATCGATTTTTTCGCCGCAATGGCTTTTCCAATAATGCGCTATTAATACGATGCGACAAGTGATTTTGAGGAGGAGCTTGCTAATGGCCGTCCGCAGCCACGGCGAAAGAGACCGGAGATGTGCACCACTTTTAGATTGCTCCGAACCGTTTTGGTACGGTTTTGGTCTCAGTCGCCGGGTTTCTAAAGTGAGACTCGGCTGTAGCTGATCACGTCCTCAGGTGATCTTGACGTGGATCAGATTATCAGATCGTCAAATCAGATCATCGCTGCTTTCAGAACAAGTTTGTTGCACACTCAGTTCCGTAAAGGTTGTCACGTTAAGTATCTATTTCAGTTTTCACAAACCCATAAAATACAAAACGGTGACTAGCTAGGTTTATTCCATTACTGTAATGTCGCTCTAAAAGGTGAGCAAACAGCAAACTTGCAAACAAATAAAGGACGTCAGATTTATCACTTTCGCGGATAAAAGTGTCGGTCTTGATGTAAAGATTCATTCATTCAGGGCCTTAATTTGCCTAAAACGATCATTAGTTCATTTTGTGTTAAAGAGTAATGTGTAAATGGTATGACAACATTTATTGAGAATGGAACTGACTGCACACCAAACACAAAACACCTACAAATTACAAACACGAGTCAACGCCCCACTGAAAAATTTCCCATGCGAATTTCCCCTGAATGTGCTAATTATGTCTGATTTCGAAATGTTATACACTTTGTCATTTAGTTTTGATACGGCATTGTTTCCACCATTTTCAATTGAAATCATTGATTATCTGAAGAAACCAAGTTTTTAGAAACGTGTAGGATTCGCATGGAAAATTTCCGATTGGAACGCGCGCCAGTCTGGTCTAGGAACGCCAAGCAGGGGGGGAAATGGTTGATAAAATCAACAAAGAATGAAAAAGTTTGAAATAAAATATTGCCTTTATATTTTTTTTTCTCTAGCTCAAGTACCATAAAGTTTTAACGGTTTTTCAATTTTCGCCGTGGAAGTAACTAAGGTCTGGTGGAGGCGATCGTGAAAAACAAAACTAGAGCCTTTCCACTTTCTTTCGTTAAGTCTGTAAGGCGTTTCAAGCGGACATTGATTAGCACAAGTCTCAACCTCTAGTTGTGACGATCAAGCGGAAAACTTTACTGAAACGAATCTCTGAGAACCATGACGAGAAACAAGAAAATGGTCAGAGAGGGGTTGGTTACGCGTCGGATACCTAGACCGTTCCAGACGAGACAGGCGGGCCGCCGGGCCTCTCAGGTGCATGCAAGGATTGAGGAACGTTGCATGGTTCCGTTCTGTCCGTACAAATCAACCAGCTGCAGGATTAGAAAAAAAGGTATTAGTAACAGGGTTGTCGGGCGCACCCACAGTGTTCTTCTTAGAGAGTGTCGCGCCTGAGACCTTGAAGGCAGAGACGCCTCCGATTACACGTAAATCAATCAATATGAATGGAATGAGGACCCTAGTTTCCACACTCGAAGTATAAATCAATCACTGCTCCACTCCCTCCCTGTCCTGAGGAAATATTTCCCGTCTCCCGTTTCACCGAAGCGCATGGCAGCAGAAACGGAAGGAAAGGGAATCGCTTCAAGGTGCTGCACGGGGTTGCGGGGAAAAGTTTGGAGAGCCTGCTGGCTGGGCTGAGACTGAGCTGGCCTCAGGAATATCGTTAAGAACTCAAGCCTCTTTTGGACTATCCTTCACTTTCTATTTCTCTCTCCGAAGAACACTGAGGATACGCTCTGTGTGTGTGTTTTGAAGAGTATGTGTCTGCGCCCGCTCGTGTGTGTGTGTGTGTGTGATGCAGTGTGGCTCAAGGACACTGCTAAAAAGAGAATCAGATGAAGGCAGAACGGAAGAAAGAGGGAGGGAAAAGAAAATAGAGACTTCAGAAGCAGGAAGAAAGTAAAACAGAAAGGGAACTGGAGAAAAACTGGGCAAAGTAGGAAAACCCACTCAAAGGATATGCTAATATTTGCTCGGCGTATAGCAAAAGACCGAGTTTCTAGCAAACCGCGTCCGATTCAAAGTCGCCATGAAACGGGATGCTGGGGGTGATACAATTATTATTTTCTGAGATTTGCCTGTGAGCCCTTTTGGGATAGAGCATGTCGTGTATTGTGCGTTTCAGAAACTTTTCGCACTCACGAACCTCTTTGCAAAATCGTCCTATCGGCCATAGCAACGGCGCACTGGCCCCAATGTAAAACTGGGGCGGCTGTCAAAACTTTCTCATCCCCATACATTGCATCGCCGTCGTTTCAAAATGCACTTCACATATTTCCCGCCGAACCGAAACCCGAAAAAGTAGTTATAAATCTTGCGAAATTCCGCAGCGCGCAGCAGCAGCGCAGGCACAGGGTGGTGTAGCGGGCGCTGGGCCGGGCCGACAGAGCGTCCATCACGGTAGAAATATCGCCCCCGTGAGTGGAGCAAAGAGGGAGTAGCGGCTCGGCCCGACCCGCCCGGGGCCGCCCGGGGCCCGGTCCACTCCGGGCTAGGCTGGCTCAAGGTCCCACATGATAAATTGGATTCCTTTCCGGATGCAGGAACCTACAATGCGTGATTATGTGGCTTGGGCCCATCCCCCCGCGACCTGTTCTGTGACCCAGACAGACCCACCCCGCCCAGTCACGCGAGACGGTACACGCCCTGTGAGTGAGTGAGTGAGTGAGTGAGTGAGTGAGTGAGTGAGTGAGTGAGTGAGTGAGTCCGTATTTGTGCGCGCGCGCGTGTGTGTGTGGTGTTGTTTCAATCCGGAATGGTGTGTGTTTGTGTGTCTCTGTGTGTGTACAGTCTTCTTCCCCGCCCCTTGTTCAGTATGGAAGCTCCTCTCACCGGACGGTCGAGAGAATACATGCTTTCCCAAACGGGAAGAGAAAGAGACAAAGACAAAAGAAAGGGGAAAATAACACAGCAGGGCAACAAAAAGTAAAGAAACTGGTCACAGTGATAAAAACTTTGGCCCCTCATAACACCAAGATACTGACATTTAAATGAACAAAAACATATATAACAATACATTCTACGAAGCAGGGGAAGAAGACGGAGGTGGGTTTCCTAAAGGGGCACAGAGCACACCACGGCTGTACTGTGTTTGTCGTGTGCCGAGGCCGCCGCAGGCCACCACTGGCCGCCAAGGGCCTCGGCCGGGCGCGTACCGGCCCACCGGACCTCGTCGCCGAGGTCAGGTCCGGTGTTACCCCGAACACCAGCCCAGCTCTACTACAGCTCTGCTGTATTGGCCTGAACCAGTCTCCGGGGAGACGCGGGGCCCGCTGGGGCCCCCCGGGGCCCAGGCCCGCTCTACCGTGGTCCGGGTCCGGGCTGCAGCCCCAGGGGGCTGCCCAGTGGCCCCACGGCCTCGCCTCGCCCGTGGCCTTGTTGCTAGCACGACACAGAGCAGGAACGTCAGGTCTGAGATGAGTACCATTAACACTTCCGACACGGAGGATATACTGAGCACGTACATGGTGACCCCCACCTCTACAGGAGGCCCTGCAAACACACACACAGACCTTTCCCGTCAGCGCCGACAACAAAGACAAAAACAACAACACATGGGTCGCCGATCTGCTGCACACCAGAAGAACAAACACTTCACGTTTCGGTACAGAGGAAATTGAAACCAAGCAGCGTGTGAGAAAATAGAATACATAATACGCTCGATAACAGAAACTTCTACAAGGAAACTGAGAGAGAGAGAAAGGTGTCTCGTGTGAATATGCTAAAGCTCTAGAGAGGGGGTGTATGGGGTTGATAGAGGGAGGGGCATGGTCTCCCTGAAGGGGGTAGAGTTGCCGTCAGGGCATGTTCATGTGCGTCTGCGCGGTGCTCCCAGGGGGCTTGGGGGAAGGGGGCTTGGAAAGGGGAGCCCCACCAAAGCTGCAAGAAACAGAGGATTAGTTGGGATCGAGGATGCGGATCGCAGCTCCCTACGCAGGCAGTCCCGCTAACATGCGATATGTCCTACGGGGCTATCAAGAGTCAAACCAGAAGTAAAAACAAATTCCTCCTTTTTGCTAGGAAAAGGGGGCACGCTTTCTCAATTTATAGTTCATCTAGGGTTTTTCTTTACTCAAGTTATTGTAATGGGACATTTCGTTAAACCTTTACTTTGTTTCTTCTTTTGTTGTGGTTTTTGGGGCGCATTTCGGACACAGTGGCAAAGAGCGCAAAGAGCGCAGCAGCCGCAACACTAAACTAGGTGGCAAGGCGACCAACTCACATCGATCTTCTTTTCTTTTTTAATCTTACTCAATATTTATCATAAAGTTGACAGTCACTGAGTGCCTATCAAACATTTTTCAGGGAACAGCAATTTGGCCCGTTTCATGTTTCTCAAGTCTATCCCAGCTTCCTCAATATGTCACCAAAATGAGTAATTTCCCCGATGGCGTGGCCGCCTTACCCATCGCCAAACCGTTCGCGCAGCTGTACCGTACCGAGCATGCATAGAACTTTATCTCCCTACATCAAAGTGTAGTTTTCGTGAATAACCGTTATCACGCTAGAGAGGTGTGGTTCAAAAAAGTGTTACAGTGCCTATCGACTTGAACCTAGGTAAAAAGAAAATTAGTTAATTATTAAAATAGTGGTTAGACTTATGCGGTACTCTGTCAACTCAAATGCATCTGTACATGGAATACAGGGGCATGCCAATGTCTACATTAGATAAAGTAGACACCCAATTCACACTAAAAGCTGTATTAGTGTATGTATACTTTTTAAATGTTGACATGGGCATTTCTAGTTTCTTAAATGTGACATACTATATGTTTCCTTTTTTCAATGGAGACAATGTATGCAAATGCATTGATAAAGTACGAAAGCTCGCAAAGTCTGAATTAACCTCTAAGCTAAGAGCATTGTTTCCTACGCTTATCTGTAAACGATACTTTGCTGAAATTGAGGATGTGGCGAACAACTGAGATAAAGGCGTCTAAAGGCTATTCTCTCCAGCGAAAAATGTGCCTAAATGATTGACTAAGGTCGAGGAGAGCGCGACCAATTTATAGCTACTATAACCTAAAACTTTTCCAGGCTGTTTTTATTTTTCGCACACTGTCGCAATTCAAGTCTAGTTAATAACTGCGTAAAAGATCTAAAGTAACGGTCTTTTTTAGACTAAACTGAGAAATTTCTATATCTTTTTGATACTTTGCAAATCATACTTCTGGATTTAAGATTTTTTGAAAAGGACATAAGTACATTAAAATGATAAAACAGTATATTGCCGTCTTTCAAACCAAATCGCCAAGCGCAATCACGTGTACTGTATTGGGGACGGGCCGAGGGATGTTGTTGAAAAAAAGCGAGCGGCCAAAGCCGAGTTGAGCAGTGGATCGGTGCGCATAGAGTGAGTGCTGCCCTTTATCGGACATGCACGAACACACGGACTGCTCAGTACGAGGCCAAGCTTTGTCAGGCCTAACAACAAAATAACGCAAAGCTCCGCGAGCGCACTGCCGTACGCATGCACGCTGCCAACGAGAGGAATACAGCTACTGAGTAAAAAAATCCAGCTATCCTACTGAGCAGTCCGATCACCCATGTTGTGAGAATTAGTGATCCCGTGGGGGTGCAAAAAAAGACAAGAAACTTCAAAGAAACCCCAAGTGCGTCAAGAAAAAGGAACAAAATGGGGGAAAAGAATGCAGAGCGTTCGTTCAGCCGTGTTGTTTTCTGTTAAAATCAATTTTGCGCTTTGTGTGGGCTCTACCCGTGACACGAAATGGGCAGGTCGGTGCGTGGAGGTGCATGGCATCGCATGGCACTTTCCGACCCAGTCATATCGCTGCACACACGTGGGCGTTCGCACATGAGCGGTGAAGTGATAGTGACTGGAGTGTACCAACAGCGAATTCGTGTTTGACTGACTACCAACAAAACGAAACAATCCAAACTAATCAAAATGCGGCTGCTTGTTTGTTTTATATTAGGTCGTGAATTATATTATTGGCGTTCAAGTACCATTTTGACTTCTGAGAGGGAGCTGATACTCAGCACGTACATAGTAATTCCCACTTCCACGGGCGTACCTGGAAAAATACATAGAGCTGAGGAGACTGAAGCTGTGAAAGAAATGCGCCCCTGGTGTGTGCAGTGTGGTCGTCACAGTCCTGGCACCTGTTCTTTTAGCTTGGCTCAATTTTCACACAAGTTTATTTTCTGGTTCATATTAGATAATGACATCTGTTATGAGATGTTTCATATATTTCAAAAAGCGAAAAAGAGGCTTTCGGTCGAACCACTTTATAGGATTACCGCGATCGGTTTTATATTGGTACAGAGATATTTGTTATATTTAGTTGCTTTGTTATCCACAAAATAAGAGCAAAGAGGAGTTTATCAAAGAAATGCCAAGGGTGTCGGGCGGAACATGCACGCCCACTACTCACTGTGACTGTCTGGAGCTAGCTCGCCCGCCCCCCTACAACTGTTTAGGCGAGCTATCTCCAGTGCAGGATTATGGAACGACATAAAACGGAGAATGTCATGACAAACATAGAAACAAACTAAAGAGAATTGGAAAAACGGAACGCCGAATCATCCGAGGGTGAGTAGTGCCTGGCACATCTACGACGACACGACTAGAAACCTAGGGCAGCAGAGGGGCTTAAGTACCATTTGGACCTCGGACAATGAGCTGATACTGAGAACGTACATGGTGATGCCCACTTCCACTGGAGTACCTGCGAGCAGACACAGTACACATCACGCGGGTGTTGGCACTACCAAATAGCACCAAATCTCTGAGGGAGTGCTGCTGTACGGTGGTTTCATTGTTCACCCCACGTACACAAATTACAGATTAGGTCAAAACAAATATGTTTTTCCCCTGTTTTTTTTCTATTTTTTTTTTTTTAATTCAGACAACAGTTACAGTAATTTGTAAATTTATCTCAGCAAACTAGAGTTGGATGTCCAACGGAATTTCATGGGGTATCCCTAACCTGGGGGAACACAATCTAGAAGTCATGTACTACAACACACTGCACTGTTCAGGACTACTAAAATATGCTGTAATAAAAGTACACACTTAATCACAATGCAACTCAGGAACACAATAGAAAAACACAGTATTTCTAAATCTGACGAAGTAATTCAGGGTTTTTAAGGTTTATAACCGAATTATTCAAATACCAATCCCAAACCTGGGCCAAGGATCAAAGAGTGCATTTAAAATCTCACGTCAAAGTAGGTCTTTTACTTTACTCATTGAATGCACGATTTATCACACTGAAACATAAAGTGTTCAACTGGCGTGCAGATGCAAGCGCTCAACATTATGTTCCATACTTGTAAGTGTTTGACTAGATCGAGAGGGTTTTCACTTGCGTAATACTCTGTACACCTAAATTAGGTATTACGCTTAGTGTAATACTGAACAATAGGAAAATATTCTCTAAAACAGTAGAATTTCGGTTGCAAAGCCTGAGCAATATCTGCGTTATATCGCGTAGTACACGTAATATGTAAAACACTGTACACAAAAATTCCAAGTGAAAACTCCCTCGGTCTAGATATTTGAATACTACAAAAAGTTTAACGCTAAAGTTAAACACTTAGAAGTGTTCAACAGCAGCAGGGTTTGCTTTGAACCTTTGGACACTTTAAAGTGTACAAATTGACTGTTGGACAATTGTTAGTATTCAAATATCTAGCCAAACACTCAAAAGTATGCAGCATAGTGTTAAGCACTTGCATGTGCACGCCGGTTGAACACATTATTAATCAGTGCATTTATGCTGGGAAATAAAAGTTCCAAACGATTTACACATGACAATCACGTGACACGACTATATCAGGGTTCCGCTCATACCTCGCTCCAGTAACGACTTTGCGATCAGTTGTTCTCAAACGGTTTGTGTATGTTTGCCTTACGTCTGTTTTTATGCCCGCGTTATTCAATTCCGGGATTCCGTTTCAAAACTGACGCGTTCTTGTCATGGGCATAGTTTGACGTGAAGACCCGTGGTGCGGCTCCACCATCGCAATAGGGTCGCGTTAATGCTAGCCTCCCGAGACGTCCCACGCTGCTGCGTCTTAGCGTACTCGTATATTATCGTTTATCAAGCTTGCCTAGACAGAATGGAACACACACACACACACACGCAGCACCCGCCACAACCATCATCGCCTCCGCCTGACAACAGCCGCCGCCGCCGTCACCGTGACGTCACGATGACAGCCTGACAAACAAGGCGCTGCGACAAACGTCGAGCCGCAGCCCCATTCATTAGCAGAGGGATGAGTCATAGGTGCGACCCAATGAGGGAATTCGGTTCGCACAGCGCCACGAGCTGCGTGCGTGATGTGTGTATGCGTCGTCTGGCCTAAGTCGGCGTTCTACCCGCCCCC